GGAGGTGAGTGATACATCTGGTTCCTGAGACTACTAGTGACAGGAGGTGAGTGATACATCTGGTTCCTAGTTTAAACCATTTATGCTGGGATGGCAGGATGACGCAGTGGGTAAAGGCGCTTGCCACCAAGCCTGATGACCTGAGTCTGATCCCTGGGATCCACATGGTGGAGAGAACCCATTCCCAGGGCTAGCCTCTAGTCTCTACATGTGTGCCACAGTGCGCGCATGCGCACGCGCCCCCCCCCCCCCCCCACACACACACACTATAATAAAATAAAATAAAAGTTCGTGCTAACTGCTCTGTTCAGGATTAATCATGGCATGGCCATAATGGAGTCAGGGTGGCCAGCAAGGGACTTCAGTGCTAGTCTAGACAAAAGATGGTGGAGCCTTAGCCCTGGCTGGGAGTAAAGAGGAAGGAAGGCTTCCAGCAATTATGGGAGGACTGTGGGAAGGTTCTTGATGCTATGAACATGGACTAGCTATTCCAACTCATCTTTTAAAGCTTTGTGCCTAAGAAGCTTCCAGGGAGGGAGTCACATGTGAGCAGAGCAGTCATGTGCTCCTGCGCCGCATGGTCTGTCCCTGTGTCATCCTGTTCCCAGGCCTCTGAATGTCGCTGATGATTCATTATGATGGTTGCTCACACCCACATGGGGCTGTACCAGTCTGGGCTAGATCTTCTGCAGAGGTGCTGCCAAAAGAGAAGCTGGATCCCACCCACCACCCCCAGCCTCCTGGCCAAATATGCTGCCCTGCTTAATTAATAGTTTCCTCTGGCTTGAATATCCATTTAACAGTTTGTTGGTAGTTATTGCGCAGTGTGTGAGGCACCCTCTCTTTAACTCTGAAATGGTCAGCTACAGACCAGAGAAATGTCCAGTGGAGGCCATCTTCCCATTGGAACAGAGAAGAGGGTGTGAAGACCATTATAAATATATATTTACATATATATTTATAACTTGAAAAACACGTATCTAGGCAAGAAGTAGCATAGCACAGAAATTTAAATTAATTAAAATGTAGATGATGCCTCGTACGTTTGATGAATTACTTCACTTAGAGTTGTAACTCAATAGTTGGAATCTTGATTCCAAATATACTTCTCCACTTAAAAGAATTGTGTGTGTTACAGGTTTGTGTGTGTAGGTACACACAGGTGTGTGTACATATGTGAGTATATGTGTGTTGTGTGTGTGCATGTAAGTGTGAGTGTGTAGGTGCATGTACATTTGTGTACATGGAGGTCAGAGTAAAACCTTTCATGTCATTTGTCAGGAGCTGTCTACGTTGTTTTTAAGACATGTCTCTCCTTGGCCTGGAACTTGCTGATCGGACTAGGCTAACTGGCAGGTGAACTCCAAGGATTCACCTGTCTCTGCCTCCCACTGCTAGTATAACAAGCACCCACCATCACACCTATCTTTTATAGATAGGCTCTGAGGACTGAACTCTGGCCCCCATGCCAAGCCCTTTACTGACTGAGTCATCTCCCCATGCCAAATGTGCCCCTTTCTTTCTTGCCAAATCTTCCCCTTTTGCCTGTTTACCTACTCACGTCTGGCCGGCTCCAGATACAGCTGCTCTTGGTCTCTGCCGGCGTAGCTTCCAGCCCAATATAACCACTGGGGACCTGGCTTTGCTCAGTAATAGACACCTGAGGGAGCTCTACCCAAGAGAAGGCTACAAGGTCACATTTGGAGACTATCTATGCAGTTTCAGTGACTAATGGTGGTGGTGTGTCTTGGAGATGGCTAGAACAGGTGGCTTACTCTGTAAGGTCATCCAGAGGAAACTGACCCCGGGAGAACAGACCTTTCAGGTTCTGGGACAGGTTCATGCTAGGATGTCTCTGGTTCTCCAGGTCCAGACATTTCTTCTGGGTTCATGACTGGCCCCTCAGTTTAACTGTCACAACTGAGCAGGGCCAGGAATTCAGCCTCTGATCTTGAACCATATCCTTCCCCAACATACATATTTTTAACAAGACCAGTCGAACATGACATATTTTCCTAAGTCAGAGCATACAGTTGCCCTGGGCTGCTGAACTCCCAGAACTGTGTCTCTCCCAGTTGCAAAGGATGCTAACTGGAGAAGGAGGGGTATGGCAGAACTTCCAAAAAAGAGAACTCCACCATTCAAGGGATGAGAAGTCAATGGCTTTGTTATTAACGCCCTTGTTATTTCAGGGCCTGATAGTGCCCAGACGTGTATGGATACCACTTCCCTTACCACCCCAGCTTCATTCATGAGTATATTGCTTTACTTCCAATTAAAAAAAAAAAAACCTCCAGGGGGAAGAGAAGGCTTTGTGACCTGGGACTGAATTAGACTCTGCCTAGCCTGGACTGTGCTCTGACCAGCAAGAAGTGGCTGTGGGAAGAGCAGCTTCTCTAGAGCCGGTTGTCACACTAGCACTTTATCAAAAGTACGGATTTGCCATTTTAAAAATATGTATCACGTATCCAAGAAGGGCAGATTTGCGTGCACCTCCCAGTAGTCAGGGCTTGGGCAGGCCTTCCAGCTACTGAGGCCTGCTGGCACTGTTTTATCTCTTGTTGCATAACTTAGGGAAGCAGTCACAAAGGTGGAGGTGTGGAGGTGTGCATGTGTGCATGAGTGCATGTGTGTGTGTGTGTGTGTGTGTGTGTGTGCGCGTGCGCGCGCGTGTATGCATGCATGCATGAGTGTTCTCTGATACCGTACAAAGTGGGAGCTGGAAGGACTCTAGAGTTTATCTGTCTCGCTGATTCTCGGCTCTATTTGCACATGGAGTGTACACCAAAAGCTCTGTGAGGTTGGTCCTGATTGGCCTGCATCACTGCTTACTCAAAGCTTTCCAGAAAGCTCTGGCTTAAAATGGGTGAGGACTACCTGGGGTAAAGAGAGTAAGGCTCACATTCGTTCCGTCTTCAGAATGGTGTTTGCAGCTCCTAATCTATCCTGGAGCTCCAGACATCTAGTAGGTGCCCCAGAAGTAGGAGGGCAGGGCTCCAGGCACCCTCCTGCCCACAGCTTCTGTCCTCTTGCCTTTTGTCCTAAGGCCTCCAGTGAGTGGGAGGTAACCCAGTGACCTCACTGTAGTCACAGCTTTCAGCTTAGCCATTACCATTCAATTCTGGCCTGTTATTGTTTGACCTACTCCCATGGCCTGGCTAAAAAAGATAAGTGAGTCAATGGCATTCTGGCTGTTAGTTTACAAGTTAACTGAAGTCCTTTGAAAAGCTCTCAGAGTTTGAAAGGTCCCAGGTTCTGAGCCTTGTCCCTGCCTGAAGTGAAGGGCCAGTGAAGAAGGCATCCAAGCATAGCAAATGCTAGGCAAGGACTAGAGATGGAAGACAGCAAGCCCCCCACCTGGGAGCTCAGTCTGAAGCCTGTTTGCTCAGCTTCTCTGTGATACCCAGGAGACCTCTCTCCAGTCTCAGGAAAGTGCCTCATCAGAGCCTGTTCTGTGTCTCCAAAGAGCAAACAGGATACAGTCTCACTAAAGTAGGGTACAACCTCACTAAAGTAGGGTACAGCCTCACAACTAACGGGATGCAGCTGCCCTACAAACAGGCTACAGCCTCACAACAAAGAGGATACAGATGCTTTGCTTTTTATCTCTTCTTATATTTTGAAGGGCCACATGAAAGGTGGATTACAAAGGGGAGGCAAACGGACTCTACTGGTAAGATACGGTGTGAGGACCGTCAGCGAATCTGAGTCCCTGTTTTAATGAAGTAAGGGGGAGCCCACAGAACGTAAGTCTGTGTTGGGGGGTGGTGACATCTATATAGAATCTCTATCACAGAGCCACCATGTCCCTCTCACTCTCTGAGCCTCTGCCTTAAGTACAGGTGTGGGCCCCCGGGGTGGCAGCTCTGGCAATGGGGACATCCTGACTCTGATGACATGGGAGTCCCCTAAGTATCGGCTCCATGGGAAGCCTGCCTTCATGTGTGACACGGAGTAGTTATGCTTCAAGGAACAGAGCAAAACTTGAGGGCCCAAGTCCTTCCTGCAGAGCCCTCCTCCTCTTCCTCCCCTAAACCAGAGCTTTTCGTGCCCCGGATGTCTCTCTGTGCACAGGGAGGGACAAGCTTCCCCATTCCTCAGCTTGGCCTGTAGATAAAGAGTCCCACAGCTCACTCCCATCTTTCTCTCCTCAGCTCAGAAACTGGCCCAAAAGAGACCGGTCAAGCACCTGCACGATACCCAAAGCCGGACTGACATCTGCTTCCTGTATGGGACTAGTTTTCTCTCCCTCCCACAAGCATTTCTAATTCTGTCCATCCACACTCATTCTCTTCCTCCAGACAACACACAACTCACCCATCCACCTGTTCCAGGCAGTCCAAAGCTTGAGCTCTAGGCTGAGCCCCAAACCAGAAGACTCCAAAGGGAAGGAAGATGCCCAAGTAGATGGCGAGAAAACTTTTATTTGGCTTGGACCAGAACCTGTTCCCTCTGAACTACGCAGTTCTAGGTCCAGAGTCTGCTGACAGCCACTGGGCTGACTCAGTGGCTATGAAAGCTGTAAGAAAAGGGAACAGAAATGGGAGGATCTAGTCTTGTGCTGCCACCCCGCCTTTGTTAAACCATAAATCAAGGATGAGCATGGACCTTTGGAGAAGAAATGCCTCCTTCCTGGGTCTACCACTCAAATACAGGGCAAGGCAGTGTAAAGTGCCCAGCATATCCTGGTTTCATGCTTCCAAGTCTGAGGTCTCCAACTGCTGTCATGTGAGTTCACAGCCACAGTGTCTCCCTTCCATCTAAGCACTGAGGTCCCCAAGGCTCTTGACACTGAGGACCATGTCTCATTTCCCTTTGCATCACTAACAACTAGTAGGGCGGTCAACAGGTGACAGGAACAGACTGCTGATGAACCAACAGATGAGGGAGCAGACAGAACTGTGTTGGCCACACCCCTCTGTGCTATCCTCTTACCACGTCTCCACAGTCAGCAGGATGTTCCCAGTCTCCCCCTCCCCATCAGCAGCTTTCAGCCTTACCTCCCATGAGGAAGAGAAGCCCTGCCACATACTGCATAAGGCCTCGGTCCCAGCAGCAGCCCAGCACACCGATGATCCAGCCGAAGAGGATGATGGCCACCGCCATACCCATGAAGCCAGCTGTCATTCTGCGCAGGTCTACGAGGAAGCAGGAGGGAAGCAGTTAGTATTGGAACCTGTGAGAGGATAGGGTCAGGTATACCTTAGCCCTGGGGCAGGGAGGAGAGGGGGGGCACTTCAAACACAGGCAGACCACCCACTCAGACTCCTACACAGGAGAGCCACCGGTGGTGACTGTCTTCTATGCAACTTGCTGTGACAGCTGGATTCCTAAGCACAGGGCAAGCACATGATCCCCTGTGGCTCACTTCATCTGTGCTAGGCAAGTGCTGCCCTTCCTGGGCATCTAGCTCATCCTTAATTCACAGGTGCTGTCTTTAGGCCTGGGTGGAGAACGGAGCCGCTTGCTAACAGGAACACCATAAGTGGAAGAAAGGACGCGGATCCAGATAGTCGTGACTAACCACTGCATTCGTCAGCCTTTTAGAGAAGTGAGAGCAGGGAGGTGGGGTGCCGGAGCAGTGCAGGGGCTCTGCAGGAAGGCTGCCTCTACTAGACCCTCCCTCCTTTAACCTGCTGGACTGTGGGAGAAGTCACATGTGAGAATCTGGTTGGGGTTGGGGGAACAGGGGTTGGTCCTCTGCTCCATGCCAAACTGGGGTCTGCTGGATTGTGGGAGAAGTCACATGTGAAAATCTGGTTGGGGTTGGGGGAGCGGGGGGTTGGTCCTCAGCTCCATCCCAAACTGGCTCTTAGGGCTTAGTTTTGCCTGCATCCTTGGAAACAGAGGAAGAGCCATGTCTTCATCCCTGAGTCTGAGCCCCTGGAGCAGTCCTTCTTTGCACTAGCCTCTATCCTTCCAGTCTCTTGGGTCAGGCCCAGCTTCAGGGTGAGGACCATGCCTGCTCGACACCTCTACGACCTGTCAGACAAAACTAGGAATGACTTGGTGAGGAAGGAGACTGCTGGAAAAATGCTGTCTACAGCAGAAGGGAGAGGGCAGAGCTGGTCCGTGTCTCTGCTGGCTATTTAGCATCTTGCCCAGCTCAGCTTTTTTGCTGGCTCCTTCCCTCCTGTGGCCAGATGTGCCCAGAACTACTGTTGCATGGTCCCTTTACATGATGGCTCCGATCTGGACTTGTTCCCCAAATGTTTTCCTTCTTTTACTCTCTTTTTTTAAAGTTGGCTTTTTACTTCCTCCTGGGGAGCACCTCACTCCGTTATATTGGTCATTCCTTCTTGAGTCTGCCTGCCCTCTCTCATGCCTCCCTGCATTTAAGCCAGTGACACCAGTCCCAACCAGCTAACAGGGCACTAAGCAAGAGCAACGCCATTTTGTTTGGCCTCTGCCCCAAGTTCTGACTCCTCTGCAGCATCACAGAGCATCCTAGAGGACCTCAGAGATATTTTGCTCTCTCAAAGGAAGGGCAAAATGTCAGGGTGATAGAGAGGGGGCCTGCCTGGAATCAAGGTACCTCACATGCACTGCCACCCCAACATTTCTTTTTCTTTCTTTCTTTCTTTTTTTCTTTCTTTCTTTTTTTTTTTTTTTTTTGGTTTTTTTAAGACAGGGTTTCTCTGTGTAGCTTTGTGCCTTTCCTGGAACTCACTTTGTAGCACAGGCTGGCCTCGAACTCACAGAGATCTGCCTGCCTCTGCCTCCCGAGTGCTGGGATTAAAGGTGTGCGCCACCACCGCCGAATTACCCAACTATTTCTTCTAGAGAAGGTGCCTGCCTAGAATCAAGGTACCTCACATGCACCACTACCCCAACTATCTCTTCTAGCACCCGAGGAACAAAAGCAACAGGGTTTCTGTGGGCCTGGGGATCTGCATAACTCATCAAGAGGCCACCCATCCATCCTCTCCTTTTCTTACATTCTATCCTACCTTCCCAGAGTCATGCCCCACACACAAAAAAGGGACCTCTGCCTCTAACCGAGCACAATTTGAGTCAAGATCCCTCAGTTGAGGAATATGGTCTCTTTGTTCTGACAAGGAAAGTCAGACACTGTCAGCCCCAGCCAACAGAGTCTGGTTAAAAGACTGGGAGGCACAAACACAGAGGGAAACCAATGGCTGGCCTCACATCTGGGAAGGAGGATCCTGCAGCCGCTGCACAGTTCCCCGGTCCCAGAGGCAGGGGATCCTGAAAGGGGCAGCAGAGTAGACACCTGCCCTCTCTGGTTCTCCTTTGCCATCCTGAGCACCCAGCAGGCCTGCCCCAGCCAGGTGGAAATAACACTCTGTATTCATTTCTGTGAGTTGCCAAGGAAGCCTCATTATCACATAGCACTGTGCAGATTGCTCAGACTGCCAAATGAGTCAGGCAAAGCTTTGTTCAAAGAGGCATGCGCTGACAATACTCACACACGAGCCAAGCCTCCTGCATAGCCAGCCCTAGCCAGAAAGGAAGGGATAGCCCTGCCCATGGGCCAGTCCAGTTCCCATGGGTCGGTCCTTTCATTTCCACCAGCACAGTCACACTCACTGCCACCCAGCCCTGACCGGGGTCCCGTCTTTCCTCACAAGGGCCAGCTGCCTTGTCAGCGGAGAAGGTTCCCAAGTGGACATGGGAGGCCACGTGGATTGATTCTTAGGAATAGGATAATCTGTGATTAATACTTTACCCCCTGCTTTCTTGAAAGGCAAATGGGAAGGGAAAGAGTTCAGCTCTCTCACTGGGAAGCTTAGTACCTTAAACAGAAGGTACTTAAAGTCAGTACCCTTTCCTGGCCTCTTCCCCTCTTCATCCCATGAAGGCTTCTAGGCCTTGTCCCCTGTGACCCCAGTAAGCTTATTTGGCCTCCTTTCTGGAGGCCAAATTCTCACTTGACTTTAACGCCTGGAAGTCCTACATTGTCCCCAGGCTCTATAGACCCTTGGGAGCAAAGATATTGCCTAAGGGACTGAGTGGATAGTGGTTCACATCAAGTGAGCCCACACTGGCCAGAGACGGACCCGTGGGTTCATGAGGTAGGAAATCTAAAGAGAATGCCAACCATAAAAAATAGGAGGTGACGTTTATTGACGGCTGAGAACAAAGTGTTTTACTTAGAAGGAAATAGGAGGGAGCAGAAAAGCAGGGAAATGGAGGAAACAGTGTTCTTCCAAGTTCTGAGCAGACCCTGGTCATCTAGGTCTCAGGTGAGGGAGGGGCAATTGCCTTCTCTCTCTCAGCTTGGGTAAACTTCTGTGTCTCCCACAGGGTATTGTTGACTGAGGTAAAGGGTTGTTCTAAGTTGTTGATGTGGAAATGGGATGGAAAACAGAGATCCTGACTGCATTTTCATTGACCCAGGGAAGATTTTCACATCATCCTTGAGTCTGACTTTGTCCAACCTCTGCATGAACAGCTGGTTCTTTTCTCCTTGGAAAGTTAACTGAGTTATCTATGTAGTAGCTCAGGCAAGCTACTATACTAGATCAGAAGGCAGGCAGGACAACAAATATTCCAGTTTTACAGATGAGAAAAAGGCAAGCTCTGAAGACAAATAATAAGTTATCGACAGTCTCAAAGCTAGTGGAGTGCAAATAGCGTTAACAACTGCGTTATTGAGTTGTGTGAGAGAATGGGATAAATAAAAGAATTAAAATTGATGTGAACAAATACACTTGTTTTTTTCTTCCAAAATCAAGCCAGAACTATAGCTAAGAGACGGGGAACAAAGGAAAGAGCGACAGGAAGAGTGGGAGTGGCGAAACTGGTGGGCGGCAGAAATGGTTAGGCCGAATCCAAAGGCAGGATCAGGGAAACCCATCTGCAGAGTTCCCCACAGGCTCCCGAACTCATCCACATAGAGAAGGGCTGAAACAGGTATTTAGATGGAGTTATTTGAAAAGGAATTAGAGTCTCAGATCCTCTGACTACTCCACACCACTGAGGGGCATCCATTTCTCCCGATTTCCAGGACATTGAATAAAGAAAGCACTTAGGGATGGGGTAAGTTACAACCTCCACCAAGGATTGGCTAGCGCGGGTGAGGGCAGGGTTCCTCCACACTGAAGTTCATGACCACCCCCTGCTAGGTGACCATTGGATGTGAAATCTCACCACTGACACACACACACACACACACTGAGCCCTCTTCTGTTTGGTTTCCAGGAGATGGTTGTGAGAGCCACCCCCAGCCTAGGCTGGGTGAGTGAGGTTCCTCCTGGGCCATGAACAGCCCATTGCACTGTGGACTCTGAAAGCAGAGGGGCTGCCTGAGAGACTAAGTGTATGGTGGGTTCCAAGTCCCAAGTGGACTTCGGGTTCCCTCACTGACTCAGAGGTTCTCACAACTCTTTAGCATTCCACTCTGAAACTTGAACGGGTCAAGGTGCTTGCTCTCGAGTCTGAACGTCAGTGTGATCCCTGGGACCTGCACGGTGGAAGGAGAGAACCAACTCCCACACGATGTTCTCTGATTCCTGCCACACATGACTTAGCACGTGCGTGCCTACACTCAGGCACTCACCTCAGACACATATACACACTAAATAAACGTTTAAAAAAAAAAAAACTAAACGAGCAGACAACCAACTGAGAGAACCCTACAGCTGTGTGGGGTGGGCGAAATGGGGGAAGCAAAGTGGATAAGGGGAAGAAAAACAATGTATGAGTATTAATATCCTCAGAGAGACAAGAGCTGGAAGACATTGCTCCCGTAAAGTAAAAACTGAATACTTTAAAAACAAAGCGAAACAAACAAACAAAAACACTGGCTGGAGAGCCAAGCATGAAATAGAATGACAGAATGAAAAAAATCAAGGAAATTTACACATATTCCAACTTCAGTATTAATTATCCTATTGTGCTCAAAAAGAGTTAAGGAAAAATACCCATACTCCGAGAGCATGAAATGGCATGAGCCTGGCTGCTTCTTGGGAGGCCGAGGCAGGAGGAGCTGAAGTTTGAGGCCAGGCTGGACTACAGAGTGAGTTCGAGGCCTGCCAGACAGCTGAGTGCTGCCTTGTCTCCAAACAGAGACTGTAAAAAGGGCTGGGGCCCCAGGCAGCGGTGGAGTGCCGCCCACCCTGAGGCCCCAGCTGTGAGGGGTGGGAGAGCAAGGGGTGGGAGAGAGAAAAAGAAA